ATACAACATTTTGTTCCTAAAAATGTGAGAATTTTATTTATTTTTCCTGGCTGTTGGCAGTATTTTCTGATTTATGGAGTGATAAAAAACCAAACATCTCCCTCAGTTGAAACTTTTGGCTGTAATATGGCAAAAATTAAAGAAATTAAACATGAAATTTGAAGCTGGTTTTATCCAACTTTTGGGTTTTTGTTCTGGAAATGAATCCAAATTTCTGCATATTCAGTGAGATATTACCTCATTTTGTATACAGAAACCTTGTAGTACAAAAATCAAGGTTTTAATGAAAGTAATACAGTGGGGACGTTTCATGTTGATGTTCATGTGCAGTGTCTCCCCTTAAAAATTTTTATAAACATCAGTGACACCTTGTAATCGGTGCCTTCTCTGCCTCCACCTGGGGTTCAATGCCATCTCCGTTTCTGATTGGACAGTTTCATCCAATGGCATTCCAGCCACCTCCGTACAGCTTCCTCCCTCTCAAGCCATCGGCTGCACAGGCCAGCATGGATGCTCTGGTGTTGGCTTTGTGGTCGACAGTCTTGCCTGGACAAGTCTTTGGACCAGGCCACATGCTGGAGGAAATCTTTTTTAAGATGTCCGACCGGCCAGAGGAGGCAACCCAGCTGCTCTATCCCTATTATTTTGACCCAGTCACCGACAGCCTTCCAAGCAGAGACCAAGTGAAACACATGTGGGTACTTTGGTTCCCATCTGATGTAAATACACTGTTAAAACAAACATTTTTAAAAAGAAAGAAAGAAATTTATGTGACAAGGGTGCCAGAAAAAAACATGTTAAAAATAAAATATTACAAAGTCAAAAACAGTAAAAATGGGGAGGAATTACTACTATTCCTATATTAGTAAAATTATTATATATATAGCTAATTTACATACAGTAAAATTGTAAGTCATACATTGTAAAAGAACAAATTACTATTTGTTAAAAAAAAAATCCAGATTTTTGATGTCGACATTATTTACAGGTTTCCTCTTTTTTTAAGGTTAACATGTAAATGAATCCCTTTTTTCATTGATTTCATCATCTGTAAAACAACAATCTAAAGAACTGAAGAGTTCATTTGCAAAACCAGATAACTCAATTTTTGTAGACTTTCAGAAAACTTATTTATTTGTTGTTTGCTTGAGATACTATCAAACTTAAGTTGAGTGGATTTGACTCAGTAGAAATGACATGACAAAAGCGGGGGATTACTTAAGTTTGATTGATATTGTCTCAGGTAGATGATGCAAAAGTGGATTTTCTGAAGGTTTGTGAAGATGGCGTTACCTGTTTTTGTAGATGAACTCTTCAATTATTAACCTTTTTTAAAACCTTTTTTTTTTTTTTCAAAATAAGGCAACTATCTGTAAAAACAACAACAAAAACGGAGCAATTTTACAGTCAAACATCATTAAAGAACGAATTGCCATTTATTGAAATACTGATTTTTGATGGGGACTTTTATTAAAAACATGTTTGGCCTGTTTTTTAAATGGTTAACGTACTTTTCTGTGGTTTTCCTAAAGATTATGTGTGGTTTAACAAAATATGAAAATCTGTTAAATAAAAGTTTAAAAATATTTTAAAATTTTTAATAGTTTTTACAGAAATTTATTCTGTGACTTTACTTGACATTATGTGAATTTAAGGAAAACAGGGCAAATCTGTAAAATGACAGTATTTTTATTTTTATTTTACAGTGCATACATTCTCTTATCATGCTGATTTAAAAACGGAAAAAAAAATATAAAAAAAAAAAAGTGTCATTGACAGCCAAACAAAAGATTGAACTACCATTTGAAATAATTCAGATTTTTTACGTCATTATTTTAAAAAATGCTACATTTAACATGGAAATTAATAGAATACAAATAATACTTAATTTCTGTAATAAATGTAATTTAACAAAACAACAACTCTATAAAACAAGTTTAAAAATAACAACAACAATTCTGTAAATAAAAAAATGTAAAATAAGTTTAAGGAATGAAAAAACTAAATACAGTAATTATAGTAAAATATTGTAATTTTATGGCCAACTGTAAAAGATCAAACTACCATTTATTTAAAAAAACAAAACAAACAAAAAAACAAGACTTTTGTTCTTTGATGTAGGCAATATTTACAGTTTTGGCCTCTTTTATTACAATTAACATGTCAATTAAGACTTTTTTTATTTCACTAGTTATTATTTGTAAAATAACAAAACAGGAAAAGTTTTTTTTTAAAAAAAATAGCTATAAATTGCTAATCAATCAATTCAATTAAAAAAAATTGAGTAAAAATGCAGATTATTTTTTTTTTTTACAGTGGGAATATCCACTAGACTGATGCGTGTGTTGTACGTCATTGTAACGAATGATCTTGCTCCCACTTGTGGCCTGAAGGAGGAACTACACCCTCCAGCTGCAGTGTTTCAGCTCGTGGGCCGACCTGAAGACAGAGAAGCAGCGGAGGCCTGGATCTGTAGAAGTCCGGCCGAACACCGGCGTCCATCTGACTGGACTCTGCCAACTCCAGTGTGACTGCAGCCCAACCACAGACGAATACGTTTATCTCATGTATGGCTGCTGACCGTCACCGCTTTATCTCTCAGCTAGTAATAAATCTGCTGCAGATGTGAATGTTCAGCTGAAGGTGTCACACATGTTTGTTAGCTGTTTGTACCCAAGTAATCCATTCCAGCATGAACACCTCCCGCCCCAGTGAGCTCTACATGCTGACTGTCAGTGCAGATGCTTTCGCCACAGCCCTTTAAAAGAACATTTTTAATAGTGCAAAAGTCATGTAGATAAATGTATGCTTATTCTGTAGATGCTTTTAATCTCATTCATCATCAGTCCGTTAATCATTTGGTCCATAAAATGGACATTTTTTTTCAGTCATTTACGATCAATCTTTTAATTTTTAAAAAAAATCTTTATCTTTTAAACAGTTTTGAGTCATTTTGGACTTGTTTTGAGTCATTTAGCTAAATATGATTACAAAGTATTTTTGAGCAATTTTTAAATGTCATTTTGGACAAATTTCAAGGCAATCTAGGCAAATGTTGAATCACTTTAGACAGGTTTTTGTCTTTAGACATTTTTTCTGAGTCATTTTGGATGAATTTTAAGGAATTTTGGACAAATATCAGATCGCTTCAGACAGGTTTTTAATCATTTTGGAAAAGTCCTTTCCAATAATTGTGCAGCCTGAGCCAATTTGGCCATGTTTTTGTCACTGGAGACTAATTTTAAGACATTTTGGACATATTTTATGTCTTATTGTTAATTTTTTAGTCAATCTAGACAGGTTTTTGTCATTGTAAACTACTGTAGTAATTTGGGAAAATTTTCAAAAGGCATTTTATATACAATGTAGCAACAATTTTGGACAGGTTCCTATTCAGTTTGGACAGGTTTTGTTATTTTAGACCATTTTCGACTTATTTGGATAAAGGCATTTTGGACAACTTTTAATTAATTCTCGACACTGTATTAGTAATTTAGGGTGAATCTGGACCAGTTCGACAATTTTGACAATTTCGGAATAAGGCTTTGAGTCTTTATGGACATGTTTTTGTAATTTTAAACCATTTTTGAGTAATTTTGGACAACATCATTTGTGGATAATTGTGACATGTAAACATTAAAACGGATCTCTTTTGTACACAATACTATAAATTCAGAAAGCTAAGATCACTTTTGTTTACTGCACCTGATGTAGTTCCTCTCTAGTGTGAAACTTCCTCAAAAATTTTGGTTTTACGCTCAGCTGCTGCAGGCTAATCCTGGTTTATTAAACTTCAAATTAAAAAAAAACAAACTCATCTTGTATCTGCATGAATGCAAACACATTTTTAACAAAGGTTTTTTTATACTCAACAAGGTCCTCTTTTTTGTCAATTTTTTTCAGTTTAAACACATTTTGTTTTCATTTTTTGTGCAGGTTTTAAAAAGAATCCCCTAAAACTCACCTTTAAAAAAATAAATAAAAATAAAAATCTGTCCTTGCCTTGTGTTTTAGTTTTCAATTTTTAAAAACATTTTAAAGATTGTTTATCATGTAAAGAATCTTTGAATATCTACACAATTTCTGAATAATTTGGGACAGGTTTTGAGTCTTTATGGGCATGTTTTTGTCAACTCAAAAAATTTTTAAGTCACTTTCGACAATTTCAGAATTTCTTTTTTTTTTTTAAATGATTGATCTTTTTTGTTGTTCTCATTTTAGATACATTTTGAGTCATTTTCAAACATATTTTAGACAACTGAGCATCACACTGAAATGAGCAGTCCTCATAATGGTCCATGGGGAGACCCACCATCACATTTAGCTGCTGACTGCTCACTTGAGCACAAACAGTTCAGCTGAAGACAGAAAAACAACAACGTTTGTTTGTTTTTTATGGAAAACACCTTTAATGGATTTTTGAAGTCATGTCTTGTTAGGTGAGTACATATTGATACAAACGTTCTATCCTAGCTACAGTCGGGGCTGGATGTTTTTAGGAACCGGCAGAGTGCCTGAACAAAAAACACCTTCACATAGTAGTGAGTCATCTCAAGGCTGGAGACACGGAGACAATCTGACGTGAGGCCGTCTGCCAAACTGAGTAAATTTAGTCCAAAAAAATCGATGCAGGTTGGGGAAGCGAATCCACAAACGCCACACTGTAGATACAGACGGAAACAAACGTGTGTCTGGACACTTTTTTACTCTCAGGCTGGCATTTTCTCTCTATTTGTAGAACTCGTGCTCCTGCTCGTCCTTCTTGATGACGGTCTTGTACGCTTTTTCGAAGTCTTTGGCGAGGACGATGTACCTGTTCTCGCGCACTGCCAACATGCCAGCCTGAGACGCAGAAAAACAAAACAAAACCTCAGATTAACACTTACACGCACACTTCAGTCACCCACTTTAATGTATTCCAGGAGTGAACAATGAGAATGTAGTTGTAGCTCACCTCCTGGCAGATGGAGTTGATGTCAGCTCCAGAGATCTTATCAGGTCTCGCCACATCTGTCCATCAGTTAAGGACGACTATGAAACGTGGTGACGAACTCAAAAACAAACAATGCAGTGGAAATTCTCATTTTAAACACATCAACCTGCAAATGAACCAGTTGTTGTGTCTAGTTTTCATTTGGTCATTGTGATTTTAACCTTCCAACTCTGAGCTGCTTCAAGGCAGTTTTTACTCCTGTCATGTTTTTTGTTGTTGTTTTTTTTAACCACTGTATAAAGTCCTGCATCTCTATGGAAACAGCACCATAAAGTTTCAAGTTGTTTTAAACCAGTTAAGACAAAATTTTGAGTCAGTTTATACAATTTCATTTTCAACAAATTTCAAGTAATTTCTAAGTCATTTTAGTAAAGTTTTAAGTAAGTTTGGACAAGTTTTTGACATTTCATACAGTTCTCATCATTTTAGACAATTTTGTCACTGTCATTGTGAAAAGATTTTGTGTCATTTTAAACACTTTTTAAGTCATTTCAGAAAAGTTCTAAGTCATTTTGGACAGATTTTTAAGGTTTTAAGCCTTGGAAAGGACAGGAAAAGCCACCTGAAAAGACAGGAAAGTGGGGGAGAAGAATGGGGGAAGGGTTTCGAACCCATGGCTGCAACTTCAGGGACTACAGCCCCTGTACATGGAACACGAGCTCAACCAGATGAGCTACAGGTGGCCCAAAGTCAACAGATCACAACATTTTTTTCCAAGTGTCCACAGGGGTTTCTAATATTGGAAAACAAAAATAGTGACGACGTAGTATGGATATTGTGGAAAAGTTTTCAAGTCACAAATTGAATTTTAAAAGATGACTGAGGGGCAGATTTGTGGACACATCCAGTTAATCTATGCAGACACTTTACTACCTGACAGCGATATGTCAGATGTATAAGATTAGGTGTAATGTTGTTCCGTGACATGCCAATACATTTCTGTTTTACATACGCTGTTGCAGTCACTTGTAACAGAGCAGCACATGTTCATACACAGCACACACATACATGAAGGAACTATTTTTAAAACAAAGGCAGCAGCTAAACTTACATATGCAACTGCTTCAAAAAGGAAACCCAACAATGACGGAGCAGGTGAGCAGTGTTAGGGGAGGGAGCGTTAAAGCTGAGCCACATTGTCTTGTAATGTTGACAATATTCAGCAGCGGAAAACTAGATGCTGTTGGCACAGCTGTATTTGCTGTGTGTAATGTGTTCTTGTGTACCACAGCAAATGTTTCGCAACATGCCCTTCGAGCAGAACAACTCACTTCTTACCCACACAAACACGGCGTTATCGAACTGAAAAGATACAATCCTCCAGGTCGACCTCCTCGGACAGGTTCATCTTACTGGTGATGGTGGAGAAGATGAGGCGCTTCTGCCTGCGGTCTGGGAGCGGGAACTCGATCTTTCTGTCCAGACGACCAGGACGGAGCAGGGCTGGGTCCAACGTGTCCGCTCTGTTGGTGGCCATGATCACCTGAGGATTGTTCAAATGTCACTGGGGGGTAAACTATAAACATATCATAGTAAGGGCTGCAGCGTTCAGGAGGACTGGATGGTCGATATTCAACCAAAGTCCTCATTTGTGGACAATCTCTGGTGTTACTTTCAAAAGTAAAAGGTCTACTTCACCAGGATGAATCCATTATTTTGGGCAGCAGAAGGAACAGACTACAAACTTTTCACAATTTAGAAGAGGCCCAAACCTAATGCAGACTGCTAGATGTAAAATTCCCCACAGAGGCAAATACCAAACCTTCATTTACTTGCTCAAAGCTGTTGGCTCCTGTTGAGTCATTTTGGACATATTTTAAATCATTCTGGGCATGCTTTATGTAATTTTGGAAAAAATGTTGGTCTTCTAAAACAAATGTGGAGACAGTCAGGTAATATTAGACCAGTTTATAGTTGATTTAGACACATTTTAGGTCATTCTGGACAAGTTTTAAGTCGAGCCACTTTAACTAATTTCGGACAATTTTTCCAAGTCAAACTGAGTGTAAAGTTAACAATCAGCCGTCTGCATATCACAGCTCAACAACCAGCGTAGCAGATCATCTACAAATGGTACTTCAAATTGTCTCTGCTAAATGATCATCACAAACGATCAAGGAAAATTAAGGTGACGAAACATCTTTTAACGTGGAAATTTTTTTTTCTCAGAATTTTACAGTATTTAGCTTTGGGCGCCCCAGCTGCTGAAATTGTACACTTAATTTACTTTTTAAAAAAAAAGAAAAAAAATGTAAAAACAGCAGCAAACCTGTCTGTCTTATATTCACCAGTTACTATATTTTCAGGCATCCTATGAATATGTGCAGCTGGTCCGCTTCCAGTCAGTTCTTATCATTTCAGTAGAAATTTACCAGGTTACAGTGATTAACAAGCTACTAAAACTAGCTGTTTGTGTTTATTGAGAATTCATTCAGGCTAATAACGCTGCAGGTAGTCACTCAGTGCACTGTGGAACATTTAGCTCTACTAGATAAGATGCTGATTTTATTTTATTTCTCTGTGACTAATTGATTGGTTCAAGAGTAGGCATAACTCCAGTCAGAGATTTTTTTCGGTTGACAACAATGAGCTAAACTTGGACGAGATGTTATAAAGGGCGGCAGTGTTATCCTTTAATCCTTTAAAGCTGGTAACCAACTAACGATGGAATCCCAATCCCAAGACTTTACCAATTACCAGCTGCTCAAGTTCGCACAGATTTCATTATATGCAAGGCAAACTTTGTAAGTCAAATGCAATAAAACGCTGGAAAAGTAACCAAGCTACTTGCCATGAATGATTTTTAAATAGAGGAAATCATATCTTTTTTTAAGTGAGATGCTACACCTATCAGTGCCATTGATATTCTGCCAGTAAAAACAAATGTGTGCTGTGTAGCTAGCATGTGTCTGTCCCAAAAAAACAACTCAGCATTCACCACAGTTCCTCGAAACAAGCACTGACCATCTGTGTACAAAACGAAGGCTTTCTTTGTCCAAGTCTGAGCAGTGCTGTCTGTGCAAACAGCTTACGGGCAAAATGTCAATTTTAGGTTTCGATGAATGATGGCATGAGCCTCAGGGATGCTTTCTAAGCTGACTGGAGTGAAAGGAAGGCTGCTCAGCACTTACAGAGGTGGTGCAGTCACAGGGGAAAAGATAAGAGGCTCCTCAGACAGGTCGACTTGGCTCACCTTGACATTGACATTCTGATCAAAGCCATCCATTTGATTAAGCAGCTCGAGTAAGATCCTCTGCACTTCCCTGTCAGCTGCAGAAGAAGACAACAACTGTATTTACATCATCAGGGAGAAGCTGCAGGACATTCACACAAGTTAAACTGGTCACCAGATAACACCAGTTGGGTTTGTTTGTGACACTGTGTCATACCTCCGGTCTGTGCATCAAAACGCTTGGTGGCGATAGCGTCGATCTCATCGATGAAGATGATGGCAGGGGCGTTTTCCTTCGCCAGCCGGAAGACGTCACGCACCATACGAGGACCTTCACCCAAATACTTCTGAACAAACTCAGAGCCCACGACACGGATAAATGCCGCTGCACACGGACAAAAACGAAGGTCATCATCAATACAATGTCAACATAAAGGAGAAATTGCTGATTGTGTCGAGGATGTGCAGTAACAAGCACAAAGGCCTCACCTGTAGTGTGGTGTGCCACAGCTTTGGCCAACATGGTTTTGCCACAGCCTGGAGGTCCGTACATGAGGACACCCCTGGGTGGGTCGATGCCAATCTGAGGAGGGAAACCCAAATGTCAATGTGACTGAATAACAGATCTCGCTGATCTCAATCCAAGCTATAAACATTTATCAGACTCCATTAGGGGTCCAAACTGATGCGTATTCTGTTTTTTTTTCCTAGGGAAAATATGATTCTCAGTAATCAAGGTTACAATAACATAAGAAATGGAACTGACATACATTTGCAGTACATCCAGGTGTCTAAATCCAAAATTACAGGTTTGTCCACAAACACTGTCAAAGCATCTTTATCAGTCCAGGAAATCTGTCAGTATTCACTAAATACTAAAATGGAGTTACACTCACAGCAGACCGCACCAATACTTTGTCACTTTAATGTTGTTGGAAGCTTTAAATCAGAATCTTGCTGTTTGTGATTGTTAGCACACTCAGTGAGCTAACTGCGTTAGCATTTTAAAATCCTAGCATTAGCTTCATGTTAAACCAGACAACCAGCAGACACCGTTTTATATCTTAACGCTGGAGAGTTCATCAACACATCTGCGACAATCACACAGCAGGGAGGTGCTGTGCAAACACACCTGTAACTCCACCTTATTAACTCTCTAAACAACATCCAGCAGGTTTAAAAGGCAAGTTACCATCCATCCATCCATCCATCATCTATACACCGCTTAATCCTCACTAGGGTCGTGGAGGGCTGGAGTCTATCCCAGCTGACTTAGGGTGAAGGCAGGGGACACCCTGGACAGGTCACCAGTCTATCGCAGGGTTGCACTTAGAGACAGACAACCAAGCACACTCACACCCACAGACAATTTAGAATCACCAATTAACCTCAACATGTTTTTGGACTGTGTGGGAGGAAGCCAGAGAACCCGGAGAGAACCCACGCTGCACGGGGAGAACAAGCAAACTCCACGCAGAAAGATCCCAGGTGTCCTCACCGGGACACCTCTTAGCTGCGAGACAACAGTGCTCACCACCGAGCCACCTTGCAGCCCAGGCAAGTTACCTTAAAACAAAATTAAAATAACCAACATGACACCATTTATGACAAAGAAACTGTAAAAACAAAAAGAATCACTGGATTTTCAACTTTTCTGCACTCCTTGAACTAATCACCTGTGATGTGCAGTTCTGTTGGAAAAAATTTAATTAAAATTTCTAAAATTTAAAGTGTCACATCACTTTATTCTGCGGTTCATTTTGCAATTTGCCAAAAATACCCCATTTATCCCAGACCTTTGAAAAAAATAAAAAATTTGCAGTCTTTGGAACGGCTGAGAAGCCGTGGCTGACTGAGCTGCAAACAACGGTCAGTTAACAAAGAGAGGTTTGGGCTGAACTGCAGGCTGTGTTTACACAGAGCAGAAGAAACAGATATAGAAGCAATTATATATATTATGTAGGGTCACATTTGTTTCCAGTACTCATAACACCTGCTGACACTTGTGCTGTTGGATATGTTGACTCGTTTTTGTAAAATAAATAAGCGAAAAAAGTCAGACTTTTTCTTTTGTTCTAATTTCTAACCGTGTCATACGTCACAGAACACATTTCTGAGTTTTCTCTCCTTGTAGTCATGGTTGTGTTGTTTTCATAGAGGTGCAGGACTTTATATTGCAGTAAAAAAATTAGCCCACAGTGAGGAAAAATGTGACAGGATGGGAAAAAATAAAAATAAAAAAATGCCCACAAAGTGCTTAGGGTTTTGAGGGTCAAACGAGCTCCACCTGGTGGAACAACCAGGAACTACAGCAAATTTACAATACATTCCCTTCTTCGTCTTCTAGCTTATCATCTAACATATTTTTCGTAAGTAAAATTATTAATTAATCAATTAACAATCACTCATTAACATCACGAATCCTGAAGGTTGGAAAGAAAGATCAGTTTTGATAATCAGTTGGTTCCTAGACTCAGTTTTAAAATGTCGCTTGACAATCTGACCTGTTTATAGAGCTCAAAGTGTGTGAGAGGCAGCTCCACAGCTTCTCGGACTTCCTGTTTCTGAATGTCCATACCGCCGATGTCGGCGTACATCACATCTGGCTTTTGGTCTGAAAGCACAAACATGGTTGGAGGAAGAAAAAAAAAGAAGAAAAAGTCAGTTCAAGTGTATTCAGTCAGAATTCTGGAAACATGTTACTGCTCCATCTCTGATTTTGTTCAGAGTTTACTTATTTGCTATTTTGGACCCAAAATAAAGAAACAGCACTTGCCATGATGTACTTCAAGAAACATGACATCTGTTGTGCAGTGTGTTGAATTATCATGAAGCATATGTGGGGAACATCGTTTAAGGCGACTTAAGCCTATACTGTTAAATTTCAGCATGAAGACAACAATGAAACAGCTTGTAGCTGTGTGTATATAATGACAACATATAGAACCAATACACAACATTTTTGTGGTTCTGCACATGAATCCAAAGCAAAATGTTTCAAAAAAAAGGAAAATTCTACTAGTGTTCGAGGCCTCATATGTTGGTAAAATGTTGACCAAAAACTGCATTTTCAGTAGGACATGTGGATACAACTATATGTATATACATTGACAGGAACTTTCCGGGGCCAAAATACCACGCCTGTTTGAAAATTGTGCTTTTTTTTTTTTTTTATACAATTATATAGAGGCCAATAGGTACTTATTACTGACATTTTGGACACATTTTAGTCATTTTAGACTATTTTGAGTGATTTTAGATCTGTTTTCGTAACTCTGGAAAAGTTGTAAGCCTTTTTTGGACAATACTGCACGTTCATCAATTTTAAGGGGCCAATAAGTATTTATTTTTAGCATTTAGGACAATTTTTAGTCATTTTACATAATTTTGACTATTGACTACTAGTAATTTAGGACAAGTTCAAAGACATTTTACACAGTTTTGAGTTATCTTAGATAGGTTTCATGTCAAAATGGAAAAAAAAAATTTGTTTCCTCAAATTTCATGGCTGTTGGAGCTTTATTTCTGGAGATACTGAACTGACATTGAAAATGACTTTCAAGGTATTTTTGAGGGTGATAATACAAAAGGTGCCAGGTCTGAAAACATGACATTCTTAAAATTCTGCCAAGATGCTTCACAGAGCTTCATTTTGGGTCCCAAATTAAAAATACAAAAACTCTGAGCACAAAGTGAGACTGTCTACAGACTGAAATCCCATAGGAGAACACAGGACTGAGCGCACCTGACGTCAGCATCATGATGCTGCTGTCTGCCTCTGGAGGAAGCACGTCCACCAGAGCGTTGCTGTGCTTGTGCAGCGCCACCGAGGCATTGGGCTTCAGCAGCTCTCTGTCGATGGTGCTCAGGATGCGCACATAGTAGTTGGACCCTGAAAGAGGAACAATGGTGAATGACAGGATGGAGAACACGGGGTGTGCTTTCATTTCATATTCAGAGCACATACTTCACACTGAATAATTAAAAGTGGACAGCACACAGTACATCTCCTCCTGGTTTGTCTCCTAAGACTCTGAAAGTCTAAACATGATTAAGTATTTAAACATACAGCTCGAATGCATCTTCTTTAAATTATAATTCTCAGCTTTATCTATTTATTTATTCTCACAGACATTATTTTGTGTCTGCTTGTAAGTAGCACATTTGGTCGCTCTTTACATAACAGCTGCCACTGACAAAAGAAAATAAATAACTGAACATGTGCATTAACCACAGTTTCCACCAATGCTCTAGTTCTGGTTTCTGGACCTAGTTTAGAATCGTTGCATTTCCACCAAAAACAAATACATTTAGAACCAAAAAGTTTCAGTTTCAGACCTGCAAACTTTAAAGTTAAACAGGCAAAAAGATATGAAGTGAAAATGAGATCAGAAACTATAACGATATTCTCCCCTAAAAGAAAGTTTTAGAGAATTTTAATACACACATAGCCTTTTGGAGTGTTTTGAGTTTAGAAAACAAGAAAACATTATGACTTAAAATGGGCACCTTATTTATTTATTTTTTAAAAACTGTTATTTATATGAGAATTTTAAACTACATTTTAACAAGCTTCAAAAATATCCCTTGTTAGTCTTTTATTATTTAGATGTATTTATTAGTTTTCTTGTTAAACCCTATAAACCTCAAACAGTTCTTCTTCTTGCGTTTGTGCTGCTGTCACA